CGAATCCACTGTTGCGAACATATTACTCAATAGTTTATGTGATTTATGAATATCTACGTCATCAGTTTCCAATTTTGTTCAATATTTCGTGAGGTCCTTCAAATTTTAACCAAAATTGATTGTCCAATATGAATATTTTCACATCGCCTGGCAATTCTAGATCTTCATCGTTCGCGTTTATTTAATCAAAATCGGCCGAAATATCTGGATCAGCTACCATTAACCGTAAAATTCCTTTTTTTGCGATCAACGATTCGAGAGCCTGTAGTTCGTATACCCATCGAGTTTCAGAGGGTAGTTTAAGAGTCACAAGGGTCTCCATTTCACGTTGCTTTTGGCTGAATAAACTATACAGGACGTGGCATTTTTATTTTATTCGTGACTTTTTTTGCTTTGAAAAATTTTTGCTCGAAGAAAGTAAATTCAGTGTAGTGATGGCTTCGAACGTTCGTTCGTTCGTTCGACAATTTGAAAAAATATTTTTTGTTCGTTCGTTCGTTCGACAATTTAAAAAAAATATTTTTTGTTCGTTCGTTCGTTCGACAATTTTAAAAAATATTTTTTTGTTCGTTCGTTCGTTCGACATTCATTTTGTTCGATGTTCGGTCCGAACAAAGTTTTTTTTATTTCAAAATCTCCCGAATAAAATTGGTATTACTATGAAAAATTATAATAAAAGCTAATAAAAGCATTAGCTGTAACGATTACATTATAAATTTGATCAATACATCGAATTTTCTGATGTAAAAAAATTTTGTTCGGACCGAACATCGAACAAAATGAATGTCGAACGAACGAACGAACAAAAAAATATTTTTTCAAACTGTCGAACGAACGAACGAACAAAAAATATTTTTTTTAAATCGTCGAACGAACGAACGAACAAAACCTTTTTTTAAAACCATGTCGAACGAACGAACAAGCGTTCGAAAGTGTTCGACGGCCAACACTAATTCAGTGCATGAGCAACACAACCAAATGTGTGAATATGCGGTTATTTTTCGGTGTCAATGAGACCAACTTGGATATTACGCTACATTATCGTACAAAAACAGCTGAAACTTGAATAATCTGATTTGAATTCAACAAAAATTCATAGAAATCACATATTTTAAAAATACCCATAAATACCCATTTTTGGGTACTTATTCAGCCCTTCGGGTAAATACCCGATAAATACCCGGTAAATACCCGGTATTTATTCGGGTGGGTAAATATTGCCCATCACTAAACTTGACAGCGATTCCGCGGTGAGTATGAGTTTAATATGCATGAACATCTTGAAGAAGCAACGCGATCAAGTAAATCTTTTTGTGCCAAAGCCTCCCCTTTTTCGCTCAAAGTCAATAATTTTTTCGCCTAAAGCCATTTCTTCCGACATAGTGCGTTTTTGAAATGAACATTTTGATGAATAAAAAGTAGGCCTTTTTGGGCCAAAACGCTCCACTTTTCCTTCCAAAGTAAATGACATTTTAACTCAATGTAGCGACATCTGTATTGAAAATTCATTTGTTCGTCTCCATTGATACATAACAACCAAGGGTATGTTTCGTCTTGTTTACTTTGACATTTCTTTGTAACAGATATTAATGGAAATGACTACAATTGCTTAAAATGGCTACTGTGAATTGAAATACAACACAGGCGCACGCTAAAACCAATTGCATGCATATTTTTCCAATGTATTGAAATGACAGCTCATTGTCAGTAGAGAAATTGGAATACTACACATAAGCGCACGGAATCCGTTCCACGCACAAAAAAAGGAATACATTGTCAGACATTGACTACGGTTATACACATAGTATTTCATTCGCTATGCGTTCGCATACACATTTTGCATACTGTATGCAATACTATTGTAACTATAAGTAAACCATACAGTATGCAAAATGTGTATACGAATGCATAGCGAATGAAGTTCTATGCATTCCATTGTAGCAGAACTATGTAGAAATATTTTGTGTGCAGTGTGCGCTTGTGTTTTTGTTTGTCAATTCGATGATTTTTTACGACCCTTTCGATTTCAGCAAAATGTGAATCAAAGAGAATCCTTATTTTAAGCCCTGCAGTAAATCTCATTTCAGTACAAACATTTGCAACTTTTGGATTTACCGTTATTTTTTCCTTATTTTATGTGTACAACTTTCATATTTTTTTCAATACCTTTGCCTATAAGTCCTCAGCTGTTACACATATGTCACTGATCTCTGAGGCAAAGTAATAGTACTTCATCAGAGCTCCACAGCGCATCGTACTAAAATGTACTAATATGTACGAAAGTGTACTGAATTGTACTAAAACTACAAAAATGGTTCTGGTGCATTCCCAGAGATTTTCAACAATTCTAGGAGACAGTAAATCGTACCAAACCATAACAAAACGTACAAAAATTCATTAAACAATGGAAATAAAACAATCCATAGAAAAGAAATCAAGTCACTGTGATAATATAAACTAGAGAGAAATGCATAGTCCTTCACTGCCGCTTCCTTATTTGATTCTGAGCAATTTTTTTTTTAATTTGCAGCCGTAAAAAATGGTTATGCCCACAGAGGTGGAGAGGAGAGCGCAGAGGACCGAATGAGCGCGCCCACCTCTGTGGGCATAACCATTTTTATTTAATTTTGAACTGCGAAAAAAATGGTACGGTCGACAAAGGTGAGCAGCTGCACAGGACCGAACGAGCGCGCGCGCGACCGTACCGTTTTTTTCTCCTTTTTATCAATGGACGGGTTCAGTTTTGTGTGTTTCATTATATTTTAGCACGGTTTAGTACCATTCAGTACGCCGTTTAGTACTATGTACAGTCTCCTGGGATTGTCAGGAACCATTAGAAATACACCAGAACCATTTTTATTGTTTTAGTACAATTCAGTACACTTTAGTACAGTGCACTGTGGAGCTCTGATGAAGTTCTATAACTTTGCCTCAGAGACCAGTGTCGTATGTGTAACAGCTGAGGACTTATAGGCAAAGGTATTGAAAATAATATGAAAGTTGTACACATAAAATAAGGAAAAAATCACGGTAAATCCAAAAGTTGCAAATGTTTGTACTGAAATGAGATTTACTGAACCCAAGCTATCCTCAGAATACAAAAAATCGATACAATATTCATATTCCTCAAAGCACAGTAAAAGAAAAGTTCCATTTTCCCATTAATTTTTGCAATACCTATATTTTCATGAAGGGAGGACCCGGGATGGTCACCATATACATGGCTAGAAAGGTATTCACGAGTACTATATTTTTGCCTTAGTGACTAATGCCCTACCTCCTATAGGTACGGAGCAATGACCTTCGGTAGCCACATGAGATTTTCATATCCTCCCTATACATACGCCGATTTAGGGGGATCCGAGGGGGAGCGACACCTATACTATACTGTTTTGGAAAGGTGGCGACACAAGCTATTTAATGGCATATCAGCCGATTGATTTCTTGAGTATTCCTTCAACTTTAGTTATACCTTCACACCCAATCTTACGTATTGAAACTCCATATACATGCTCGGAGTATGTTCATGACATCTCCTCTTTCGGACCATATTTGTACACTATGCAATGTAGATGGGAGCAAATCCTATCGATCAAGACCAATCCGTTCCCAAAAATACTTTGTTTACTATGAAAAATGTGGAAAATTGCGATGTGCGTATGGCCAGAGGTTGGTTGCAGATAAATTTATTTACATAAATATCAGATATCAAATAAATTTATCCGATATTTTTCATGCGTTGTGTTGTTCTGAAGGATTTGCAGTACATAAACGAGACATCGGCTGTTGTATTGGCACCCAGCTATTCATCGCAGGAATGAGATTTTTGTTTTGTTCATTTACCGATATTTGTGAACAAATCTGCCACTGTGTCACTACATAGCATATATAGTCCATAGAAAAACACAACGCATGGAAAATATCGGATAAATTTATTTGATATTTTAAATTTATATAAATAAATTTATGTGCAACCAACCTCTACGTATGGCTTCGTCCGCGTTCGCGTCCGAGCTTTTTGTTCGCCGGATATTTCAAAAAGTTGACGAGATAATTTAGATCTGTAAAAGCCAAAAGTTTTGGCATGTCGAGACGAAGCTTCGGATTTTGAGCCCATTCTGACTTACCAATTTCGTATCATAAGCCTCCGGCTGAGAACATGAAAAACCTTGAAAAATTCCGACTAAATATTTGTCATGATGCCGAATCTTAAAACGATTGTCTTACTTTGTTAAAATTCCTACACGCTAGTATAAATGGCTGATTACGAGCATAGTCCGTGTCATACGTTTCACTTCTAACTAAATCTCTGTTTCTCACATTTCTTTGGTTACTGTTGTCTAATCGTCTCGTATATACAATTCTTCTATCAGTGCCAAACAAATCAACTTTCCTAAGATTAGATCATGAATTAAAAATACTGAGGCATTTAAACGCCGCCTCCAAAGCGGTTGAATATTCAAACTATCACATCTAAATTAATACGATGGCAATCTATAGTTGACATCTGTTTGGTGAATTCCTCTAAGTGCCCACATTACAAAATTTCTTGAAATTTTTGAAATTCTTTTCGAAAATGACACTTTTGTATGGAAAATGGTCAAAATAGTAATTTTTCAAGGTCAAAAGTGCTATGAAAAAAGTTTTCATTGAAATTTTACTAAACCCAAGGAACAAAAATGTAACCTTTTTTAGTAGATTTCACCATCGCGTAATGTAACGTTTTGGCCCATTTTCGTGGTAATTTCAGTGTTATATTAAACGTGGATTATGTGCATGGTTCCCAATAAAATGGCAATGCATATCATTCAAAATGTAACAAATAACGGACGGTTCACATTATGCTCGCTCCACTCTACACAGACCGTACAGCAGATATACAAACACGAAAGAAAGAATGTGAGAATGAACCGCATACAGAAAGAACATTCAAGTAACATAGCTATGTGTACTGTTGCTCTCGTGTATTCTCTCTCTATGCTTCTCCGCTTCGTTCGTTTTATTCTTGTGTGTGTGTGCTGGAGCAAGTATATTTTCATAACAAATCGAAGTGTGACTGTGGCGATCGAATCCATTCGAATCGAATTGACAGTTCTTACTGTTTCTGCGTGAAGAACAGTGCAGTTTTTGTGTTCTGAATTTCATAACGATGCGAAATATCTACTTTGAGTCGAATTCAAACGAGATTTTGAGTGTTCATCAACACATTTTTCTGGATTGTGCTGTTGTATTAGTTTTGCATTTGATTCGGTTGTGATTTTTGACTAACAGGACATTTGCACAACGACAAGAGCACAATATTCGAAATTCAGCATTGCATGATGCATGGTCAGTTTGGTGTCAGAATTCGTTGAGGCAAGTTGATTGTTAAATTGATGGTTCATTGATTATTTCTTCAAAACAAATTGTTAATTTAGTCAGTGTTTGATCGAAAGTGCAATCATTCTAATCAATTTGTTCACCATTTTATTTTTCATTTTCATTTTCATTAGATCAAATTTGGTGAGCATGAAAAGAAAGCGAGCCCAGAACGGGCGACCGTGATGTATCGAACTGTCGCTGAATTCGGTTCTTCGGGCCAGCCGGATAACATTTCGAAAAAGGTCTACGACAGCAATCCATTTGTGTCCTGGGACACAATATTCAACATGGACAAGATTAAGAATGTCGGTAATGGCAAGACATTTGACTACGCAATCGTGACGGATAGTGTGGCTGTTTCGTTGTGTTTCCTGAAGCCAGAATGCCCCTCACACGAATATTCGCACGAGCAAATCAACGAAATGTACGAAAATGGTGTTTTCCGCTTCGCTCTTGGCATGGACCCTGCTGTGCGAACCTGGAATGCCACGGTGCGAAAACATATCGCATCCGGTGTGGAAGTGAGTAACAATGATTTGTTTGTTTGTTTTTTCAGTCATTCCTTTTATATGCATATAATCATGATTCTTTGTTCTTATTTATTTCACACAGGAAAACATCACGATCGACGGTCCGAAATACCATTTCCGAGCGAAATATGGTAAACGAAAGCGCAAATCGGAAAAATGGCTACGATTGTTCACCGAATTGGAGCAACACGATCGAAATCAATATCCATTCTATCCATCGCCCAAGGGAGCCTCAAACTGGATGAGTTACATCGAACATCGTGTGAAAATGTTGCAGCCTGGAATGGAGGTTTACACAGCACGCAAATACATTCGCCTCAATCTCGATAAACATATCGAGGAGACCCGTGCAAGTGATACCATCGCTGCTTTTTTGACCAGAAAATTGCCATCGCTCATTTTCCTTGGTGCAGCTCAAATGGCTCCAAATTCGCCAATTTGTATTAAGAAACGATAGCGGTCCCCTGGTGTACGAAAACTACTGAACAGCTTCAAGAAACTGAACAATTGTTTGGTGGTAATGGTTTACGAGTTCAAAACATCGCAAACGTGTGCAAAGTGCTTTTGGCCATTTGATCGACGTACAAGAAAGGACCGCTACAAAGTCTGCCGTCAATGCATTCCACATGCAGCAAATATCACGACTGACAAACACCTGAGCAGTGTGATCATCAGCAAGAAAAGCAACCGGTCGTATCAACGAGAGCGACGACATGTGGTTGCGGAATATGAACGATTGAATGTACATCCAGTGTATTCACATGGTTTAGTGCCGAAACTCAATGTATGGTTCAAAAACTGGCAGCTAAACACTGATTACACATGGAACGATTCACGTCATCCACATCAACAGAACACTGTTTGGCATCGGGATGAAGTCGCTGCCAAGTGCATATTGTACAAAGGTATGTATCATAAATTGAAAAAAAAATGTGAAATATTCTGGCTAACAATTGTTGTTTGTGATTTCGGTTGTTTCATGTCTTTGTATGATAAAGGGCTTGGATGTGCAATGTGCATCCGCAACTGTCGAGACAACATCATGCAGCAGCTGCAGCCGCGCAGAACAATGCCGAAGGCGACCGAGATGACAACGATAGCGACAGCGACGATGATTACGTTTACGTTCTCGACGACGTGTCCGATGAAGAATAGTTTTTATTTGATGTAGGATTAAGTTTTCAAACAATAATAATTGTAACGTTTTGTTACTTTGCTGGGCTTGAGTATTGTGGCCTTGTCCGAAGTACGGGGCTTAGTCGGATCATATAAAATACCTCGTAGGTGAGTATCACTATTTATTAGCATATTGAATATTGATTCATAATCGTTTTTATATAATTCTAATTGATTTGTTTTTACTGTTTTTTTTCTACTTCCATCGTGACGTTAAAAATGACTGAAACTACACACAAATGCGGGCCTTAATTCAACCGTTTACATACGCTTGGTAATGGATGTATTTGCGGTAACAATGGGTTTTCAAAAATCCAATAGATGGAGCTAAGAATACGACGTATCACACAGAAAATAGATATTTTTACTATTTATATTTACAAAACAATGAACAAATCTATTCGTGTTTCATATTTCCGCAAAAAAATGTAGAGTTTTAATTATTGTTTATTGGATAAATAATTATTGTTTATTGCATAAACATGCAATATAAAAGTTAATATTATTCTAGGTAATTTTTTTCTCAAATAAACAGTTTTTTTCTCTAAGAAAAAAAAATATTTTTCTTCCCGTTTGAATTCGTTGAGTTTATCTAGAATGAATGAATGATTAATCATAATTTGGTAAATGAATAAATGTCATGTTCTAAGTAATGTCATATTCTTGTAGTCATAGTGTTAAAATGTGCTTTCACGCGAAACTTGTTATGAATATTTACAAAACAATGAACAAATCTATTTCGTGTTTCATATTTCCGCAAAAAAATGTAGAGTTTTAACAAATTTACTACATTTCGGACGGTGACCAGAATATGAATGCAATATAGCAAAATCGTTTTACTAATACAATGATACGTTCGTCATGTATGTGTGGTAGTTTTTACGAATTCACACACTCAGTATAGCAAGAAATTTGACAGACAGAATAAACACTTTATTAGTTGATTATTGGTTAGACAACAGAAATAGGAAAGTCAGCAGATCATATCAGCATTTAACTTTTGTGTATTGCAATGTTTGTGGGTGTGCGTGTGCCTGGAATATTTACAACGAACATTGATTGACTCAAGAGATTTATAACATCACGGATGCAGTAAAAAGTGCAAAATAAAATGTTTCATTTTTTTTGATGTATTACACAACCAATTATACAATATCACCACCGTTTTGTTTCTCACCGTCTTCATCGTTACCGCTGCCGCCACCGTCGTTGTCATCGCCACCGTCGTGAGGTTTCGATAAAAAGTTACAACGTATAGTTTATATGTGTATCGAAAAGTAAAAAAAGGATCAAAACAACCCATTACTTGAACATTCGATAGGTTATTGTTCAGAAAAAATCCGGTGGTTTTAGTTGCGAGATGGAAGTACATAGGCCGGTTAAGTGAGCCGGTCAAGTAAACCAATCTGTCGAGTGTCAACCTATCTGAATCAATTACTTATCGAATTTTAGCAGGAATGAATCGATCGTATTAATCGACATGAGTATCGCAGTTACGTCGTATTGCACTATTGCAGTATAGCATAAATATTCTAGTAAATCATAATGAATGCACATGCATGTAATGAAAACAAAATTGGAGGGCATAGTTGCAACAAACGATGAATGGAATGTATTAAATTGCCGATGGATGACAAACATAGCCAGACTATGAAGAAAACATAGATACCTGACAACTTCCTTTATATCACCGGATCGCTGATCAACAATTTATTCATTTTAAGACAGACATGGCCTAGTGCTACTATCGACCATTTGCATATTGGTGCTAAAATAATTGAAATGAGATGCATACACAAGCCCCAATGTCCGTTTGAAATTCTTTTGTGGTTAGTATATTTTCGATTCCTCGTGACCGAATGGTTTTCAATTTTTTGCGTACATTTTTAGGACAAACATCATATTCCGTACGAGTTGAAATTTAGGCATAAATTGTATAATGAAGGTTGTGTGATCACAAAAGTAATCCCGAAAAATTCAACACCTTTCTCCGTACCTAAGAAATACTAGCCATTAGAAATATCATTACATTTGACCGTAGTTCCAACCACTTTTACCAATCGCATTAAGAACAAATTTAACCGTAAGACTTTAGAAAAAATTGAGATCGTGTGGATTTTTAAATTCAAAGGGTGTGTTCAACGAGAAATATACAATTTAGGTCCTTTGCATTGTCATCATCGATCAACATCGAATTTCCGATAGAGTTTTTATCGTACACACAATGTGATGAATTTTGCCAGTTTTGCATCATTTAACAACCCAATGAAACTGTCAGAAAAGGCTGCAGTTCCAACCTAGTATGTATATTTTGTACATTTGAATTTTGATGATTTTTTTCGATTTTAATATTTTTGCCTCGCTTGAGTATTTATTTACTGTGCCTTTGTCTTTTGTTGATTACAATTATTCGCATTGTTTCAAAAGTTCATTTTTGTTTTTTCTCCCAATAGATTCACTAATGAATGTGTGCGATGACATAAAAGAAAAGACATACCATTGATACGAGAAATAAAAGTTGTGTTGTGTAGGATAAACGTTGAATGCTATGCTCTGGAAAGGGTATATTGAGAATTACAGGGTGGCTGACATTAACTGCAAAAAAGTAAATTGCTATAACTTTTTTATTTGTGAACATTTTTATTGAGTTCAAAGGCAAAAATTATTGGAAAATAGGCGAAATTTAAGAACCCACTTTCAACATTCCTATTGGGTCCATTCCTATTTGGTTATTGGGGTCCAAATATACAAAATCATGAGTCACTGAAATGACCACCAGTTCGATAGCGATCTATTCTACGTAATGTGAATAACAATAACAATTGTCTGATGGCAAAAAGCAGCGCATTTAAATAATATTAGATTTAAGAAAAACCAACATTATTGCAATGGTAACAATGGTTGGAACTACAGTCCTAATCTCCCTTAATTTTATTGTTGAATATATACCCGGAAGGGTTTCATTTAGTAATTGTTCCTCAAGTTTTGGATAACGTGATTTGTTCTTATATTACAGAGGGCTGTTCTTGAATGACAATGGATTGTATTAGAATATAATTTGATGGAGTAAAACTAGCAAGAAGCCTTCATTCGTTCGTGTTTGCATTATCTTTTTGGCTCTATCAATATTTCGAAACGAAAACTGCTCCTTCTCTTATTAAATTTATAATTTCGTTACTGGGGCACTCAAACAAAAATATAAAGTAACATTTATCTCGACAAAACTACTACATGTGTAGATTTAGTAGTTGAATTGCCACATAGACCACAAAAATGTGCCATAGTTGAAATAGGGAAATCGAGCAGTAAAAAACAGAAAATGGTAAAAGAAAAACCAAACTCAACACGTATTTACGACAAAGACGGATTTCGACAGAGAGCTGCTTGCATATGCGTTAGGTCTATCGACGAAAACGAAGTAAGATTTTTTTTCAACTGCAAACCCGTTGGTTCGAAGACCAAATTTGATTTTGATCTGCAATAATTCATTAATTATTGTTTGTCGTATCCTTCATTTTTCTGAAAAACTCTCCGCGATTTAGGTGTTATTAGTAACATCATCGCGTAGACCAAACAATTGGATTGTGCCAGGCGGTGGTGTGGAACCTAACGAAGATCCCGCAAGTACGGCCATACGTGAAGTACTTGAAGAGGCTGGTGTTGTGGGCACATTGGGGCGGTGTCTAGGCATGTTTGAGGTAACAATAAGAAACATTTTAGATATAAATGAATGGTTTGGAGCGAAAATGTAATACAGAAAAGTTGAGCGGAAAAATGACAAATGAAATGCCTTGATTTCTTGCCTGAAGGGATGCCTTGATTTCTTATGTGAAAGAAATATTAGGGGGTGTAGTGCGGCTTTGGTAAAGGTTGTCCAGAGGAACAATTTTTGTTTGGCACTTTTGTCCGATCAAACTTTCTGTGAATTCATTTTTTGATAAAAAAATAAGATCCTGAAAGTTTCATGACGATCGCACTAGCAGAAGCTCTACCAAAGCCGCACTACACACCCTAATATTTCTCTCATATAAGAAATCGATGCACCCTACTATATAGTTCACTATAGCTTACTATACAGTTTACAATATAGTTATCCCTTTTCCGCTCATTGATCATCGACATTTTTCCGCTCAACTTTTCTGTATTACATTTTCGCTTCGAACCATTCAAATAATGATAGACAAAAATAATCACATAATCTACCATAATGTTCTGATGTTTATACATCCTTGATTGATCAGTTTGGTCTTGGACAGAGCGCAATGTCACTCTGATAACTACACACGCTTATAATCTCGCATTTATTATATACAGAATACGAAGTGTGAAATCGTGAGGCGCCGTGGATTTCATGCGACAAAATTCAATACTAATTGGTGTGATTGAGCTGTAAATAGCCGTAAGTGATTTCGACATATTGTGAAATACCACAAAATCACACCAAGTAGTACTGAATTTTGCCGTACGAAATCCACGGCGCTCTACAATTGTTCAAAATTTGACAGTAAACGGGTGGATAATTATTGATTTTTAAAATGCCTATATTTCATTGAAATGTTACAAACAACCATAAAATATGTAAAGAGACAGTATCAATAATGTGAAGATATTTAAAAAAAGAGCCGTTGCTCTTTTCAATCGAATTGATATATATATGGTACAGCACCCATTATATTGGGTCTATGCAGTAAACCAAAGAGTGATTTCCCCCTCGGAAAAACGTCTAAAAAAGTGAAAAAAACGTCTGAAGAATTTGTCAATAGAATTGAAAAAATCGTCCAAAGGAATAGAAAAATCATCTAAAGAGATCGCAAAAATCGTCTAAAAGGCGTCCATATTTTTTGTGTGTAAAAATCATCTGAAATAATGTTGAAATCGTCTAAAAGTCTGATTTTTTTCTGGCGTGAATATTGTCTAAAGAATTTGAAAAACGTCTGAAAAATGTAAAAATATATATGTATATTCAGTAATATTCATTTGTCGTTCACGATGAATATTGTTGAATATATTGGATCAATTCGAAAGTTTCCGCCGTTTTTTTATGTCTAAAAATACATTTATTGCAAAATAAATTGAAAATGTACATTAACCAATGTATTCGCCATCGTAAGCTATGACTTCCCGCCATCTTTCTGGCAGCTTGTGGATTCCTCGTGTGAAGAAGTCCTCGTCTTTTGAGGTTATGTAGTCATCAACCCATTTTCGCACTTCTTCCTCATTTTGAAAGCGTACTTCAGACAGGGCAATCTGCATCGATCGAAATAGATAGTAGTCGCAAGGAGCAAGGTCTGGAGAGTACGCGGGCTGATCAAGCCGATCCCAACCGAGCTGCTCTACCTTATTTTTAACGATTGTTGCACGATGTGGCTTAGCGTTGTCATCGTGGAACAAAACATTGTGGTGTTTTCGAGCTATTAATGGCCGCTTTTCATCCAATGCATGAGCCAAATCATTCAATTGGCGTCGATAGCGTTCCTTATCGATCGTTTGATCTGGATTTAGCAGCTCATAATATACGACTCCTTTCATATCCCACCAGATGCATAGCATGATCTTATGGCAATGAATATCTCGTTTTGGTTGTGATGGTGCCGGTTGGCTTGGATCAACATACGCTGCCTTACGTTTGGGGTTCTCATAATAAACCCATTTTTCATCGCCGGTAACAATCCGATACAAAAAACTGTTTCTTTCGTGCTCTGCAAGATGTTTTGTGCATATTGCGATTCGTGCTTGAAGTTGCTCTTCAGACAGTTGATGTGGAACCCATTTTCCCAGCTTCCGAATCTTTCCCATGGCGTGCAAATGTCTGAAAATGGTTGTTTGGCCGACGTTTAACTGCAATGCAAGTTCTTTTTGCGTTTGGGTTGGGTCTTCATCCAATAATGCTTGCAAATCGACATCTTCAATCGCTTCTGGCCGACCTGAACGTTCTTTGTCTTTCAAGTCAAAATCACCACTTTTGAATCGATGAAACCATTCTCTGCAGCTTCGTTCCGATGGAGCTTGCTCGCCATAAGTATCTGACAGCATTCGGTGAGCTTCAGCGGCAGTTTTCTTCGAATCAAATAAGAAAAGAAGGGCCCCTCGAAAAAACACCTTATCACGATCCATTTTCAATCGATTCAAAAACAATGACGCAGAACGAAAAATGAATCTTTCTGCTCTGAGTTAGATTGCTAAATGTCACATCTACAAAATGCAATTGAATTCACTTGTCAAGCTACGCTCAGTTACAAGTGGCGACATTTAAATGTCAGCGGCGGAAACTTTCGAATTGATCCAATACATGGATATTTCGGATTTGCATGCATACCATTGAATTTCCAATTACTTGATGCGTGGGGATATAAAAGATGAAAAAAATGATTTTACCCCCTAGATGTGGCCAGATCATTTTTCCGAAAATATAGGAGATCGAGTGAAATTGAGACAAAAAGTATAGGAGAATATTGGAGCCGTCATTTGGAGAAATATAGGATCAATGGGGTGAACCCAAAATCGTACTAAAAAACCCGAAAATCGTGCTAAAAAAATCCGAAAATCGTACTAAAAGAAACCGAAAATCGTACTAAAAAAAACCGAAAATCATACTAAAAAAAACTAAAATCGTACTAAAAAAACCGAAAATCGTACTGAAAAACCCGAAAATCGTGCTAAAAATCCGAAAATCGTACTAAAAGAAACCGAAAATCATACTAAAAAAAACGGAAATCGTACTAAAAAAACCGAAAATCGTACTGAAAAACCCGAAAATCGTACTTAAAAAAACCGAAATTCAGACTATTCCACATCTTTTTTATTTCGATCTGTTCAAATTAATAATAAATCAATACGTCTTGCATCGTCAACTAATTTTTACATATATTTTATTTTGAATTTTGTTTTGTATTTTTATTCAAGGTGAAAACACACCAAGATTCAACTGCGATGCATCGAAACGTAATTAATTGGAAATTGACCTTTCTTACATTTATTTGCAAAGGGTTGTACAATTGACATGGAAAAAAATTACGTTTTTGAATGGCAATAGACAATATAGTTGAAATTGGAAAAGACTACTTTCTGATTTCCATTGTCCATTTCTCTGATTGTGATCTGACTTGGTATTTAGAAGTCAGTCTATGTCATTTGAATTATCGTTTCTCAAGTATTTGTTTGATTTTCAATTAAAAAGTCAATCTAAAACATGCCAATAGTAATAATATGATTCAGTTTTATTCATTTGTCTTTTGCTTTTATTTTATTGAATGAAATTTGCTTAGAATATTCTTAATCATAGATATAATCAATCGTTGCATCGTCAATAAAAATGTTAAAATGAAAACACAGAATTTTCTCGTGTTACACCGAGAACCGAGGGGCAAATCACTCTTAGGTATTACTTTTACATAAATGGTATTACTTGGTATTACTTTCCGTACAAATCAAAAGTAATACCAGGTGTATTACTTCTATTGATCAGTATTACTTGGTATTACTTGGATATTACTTTTTTTCGGTATTACTTTTTTCATAGAAATATCAAAAGTAATACCAGAGGTATTACTAGAAATAACTGAGGTATTACTTTTCTATTACTTTTCCGTACACAACGTGTCAAGGGAAAGTATAGGAATTGGTCCCGAAAACTTTTTTCGCAAAATTGGTTTAGATCATCATAAAAACTCATGAAACGCGTAGAAAACCACTTTTTGAGACACTTTTCCGTTCGTGTGCCGTCGTCGTCGTTGTCGTTGTAGTCGTCGTAGCTGTTTGTAAACACGATAACTCAAAAAATAATTGAGATAATCAAAATCTGGAAATGCCAAAAGTTTTGTATCCAAAAAACTTAGTTTAAGTTCGAAGATGAGCTATTTTCGATTTGATCTCGGGGTACTTGCCCCAAGAAAAACCTCAAAAAATTTACACTTTTGTATGGGAGGTACCCGTAAATCGACTTCGATTGGCTTC